TTCAGTATGATTCAAGAGTATTATCATTAGTGGTGTTTAGGATAGCCTAGGTCACGTGGTTTGATAGCCTAGGTCACGTGRTYTRATCACTAATTACCTTGTTGCYTTGTGTGGGAGACCAAGCGGGACATGAGACGTAATGCGCATGGTTTCAGCTATCATAGCTCTAGTGTACGGCAAATTTTCACGGTCGGCCAGTCTTGGTAGTCGGCTGTGTCCAACAATAGCGTCAAGCTCTTTTTGCACTTTTTCCTGTATAACCAAAAAGTCTATTTTTATATGAAAAAATAATGGAAACTGGGGGTAAACTATTGTGAGCTGCGTCGGTGTTTCTAAATAAACAGTTGTGTAAAAATAAAGATACATTTAACACCGTAAAAAAGTAGGTGAAACAACTTACTGGCGTTTTGGACGTTTTAGGATTCACGTCCGAAACGTCAGTTTGTTGTTAATTGTTAAACGTCAAAGATGATAGAAAATCTAACAAATGTATGCAATAAAAAAAAAGAAAAGAGAAAACAATTTTTGTTGTGCTATGTATCATAAAGAAAACTAAATAAAACAAGAAAAGAATAGAACGACACCATACCTGAACTTCTGGATAATGCACCATGTATAGCACAATCCATCGTAATATGGCTGCTGTCGTTTCAAATCCAGCATTAAATAYGTCATTCATCGTCATCATGATGTTATCTTCGGTCAAGGTGGGGCTCTTGGCGTCTTCGTTTGTRTTTTCATCAAATGCTTTCAGCAGAGCGTCGGTCAGATCCTGTATCACAAAATTGTGGTTTGCATTTTCCACGAGGAATTTTTCTTTGTGTTCCTGGAATTTTTTGTTGATGATATTGTCTCGAATTATCCTRGCCTTTTCCAGTTGCTTGGCGGTATGTATTCCAAAGTATCTCAGCCATGGGAAWAGGTCAAGTAGATTAAAGCTTCCAAAGACGGATGAAATTATGTCATTATATTCAACAATYCTCTCAAACTCTTCTTCATGTTTGTGGTAGCTCTGTCCATAAACCACGGAGCAAATAACGTTGAGGACAGTGACACATATGTCAGGCTTGGGATCAAATGCCGCTCCATTGTGCTCAATCAAACGATTAGCTAGGTCATCTGCCTCACAGCAGATATGGCTTTCCAAGCGTTGCATGCCTAAAAAAAAAGTTTGCGGTAAAGATGGTAAATTCGATCATGACAKGATTAGATAATTAGATTCAATGTTGTTAATCCAGGGGCGTATTTAATGGGATCTCACAGGTTGCACTTGAACCCATCTCGTCACCCGAAACCTCTCTTAGACTGACAAACAACCTCAATAAGCATGATCTTCATTCAAAAGCGACCGCTTAATAGAAGGRGTATAGAATGGTGTCTCAGAAATCGCGAGGCTCGCCAAAAATTGCCCAAGGCTCGCAACCTCGGCGTCTAAGAGAAAGGGGCTCGGATTTAAAATTGCTTTTGGCTCGGAAGCTCGCAATTGCCGAAATATCGGACTCGTTCAGCCAAAGACTCGGACTCGGATTTTGAAACGAGGGGCTTGCAGGCTCGGCGAGGCTCGGATTTTACCATCGATACCCCTAATAGAGGTTCAACTGTAGTTTATCGGCTAATGCATACCTTGGCCGTACATCTTCAAAGCAGAATGTACGATCTTACGCAGTGACACCATCATAGGAGTAAAATCAGCGCATATGATGTCTTTAGTTCCACGGGTAAAGTAATCTCCAATGTAAGTGTATGGTCTTCCAGAAAAATCGTCTTTCTTGGTCAGGAATGCTTCTCTTGCAAGACTAGCAGTGTTGATAACTACAGCCTTCCAGGAAATTAAACACTGATTAAGATACCAAACGTCTAGCAAGACGCACGTAATTATTATAATAAATAGTACTAAATAAATATACTGAGTGAATGTCCTTAGAGCAGTGCTAAGTAATGATCATTTAACCCGTTGAAGCTGAATTTAACTAAACGCGTGATAGTAAAAAGAAAACAGTGCAATTCACCTTTTCATGAGTTGCTCTTAGGCCTCGACAACATGTTAAATATTCTTTTGAATTTGTAGGAATGTGAGCAATGCAAACATTGAATAGTATTAATTAGCAAATTTAAAAAAAATAATTAACTTGCTATCGAGGCCTAAGAGCAACTGAAAAGGTGTATTAGAGCTTACCAAGGTGTAGAGTGAAGTAAAAACAAAAAACAAACAAACAAACAAAAAAAAAAACGTGAAACAGGTATTACACCAATACGCCTCTTACTGCTCTCTTATTGGATTGTTTTTTTTTGTATCTTTAAAAATCACAGTTTCATCGTTTTAAAATTAAAATTTTGTTTCACGGATTTAATTACCTCTTGTTTTAGCGTAATATAATTGATTATACAATAGGAAACAAAGGAACTAGCATTATTTAGTAATATTTTGTTGTATTTAAGTTTCATGGGTGGTGCTTTGCTCTAATAAGTTTACCGTGTCGGAAATCAGAGAACTTGAGTAAATTGTCTGTTGATCGAATCTAATTTTTTCTCAAAATTGTACGGGTTAATTCCGCTGAATTTTTTGCACACAGTATTTTCTCGGAAGAAATATCGATGTATGACCTTTGAATAAGTTCTTCAATTTTGCAAATGCTTGTAAAAATGCATTTTGTTTGTTTGTCTTTTTTTTGTGTTATGTTGTTGTTATTTGTTTTGGCTGCATAAAATTTTGCGGTAAAATAATACCTTGAAAATAATCACCAAGCGTTTATCAAAGAGCACTAAAAATTCGATCATGTTGATTTTAATCGAAAAGAAACTTTCATTATTATCTAGTTCTTGTACGAATATATCTTACACATTGTTATACTGTTTAATATTGAATATTGTCGAGACGTATTTCGCGACCAAACATGGACGGTGCGTCAAAGCCGCCAATATAAAGGCCGCCTCATAAAATGACACATGGAAACGATTGAAAATGAATTTTAAAGTGACCCCAATTTTTCCATATCACTGGAAAAATGTAAAACACTACTGCAATGACTAACGGTTGATTATGGCCTACAGAAAACACAGGGAAACCATGGAATATCTAAATCAAACTATCAGTATCAATAATCCAGTTTCGTATTCTCCAATGCTCTGTGTTAGCCTCATTTGCGCACAAATATTCCTAATTGTGAGAATAAAAGTGTGAGATTTTAAATCAATTCTATTGTCTTTCTTTTCAAATTCCATGCGTTTTCTCGGGCTATCAATGAAACAAAAGAATATGTTGCTTGGTTTTGAGGCTAACACAGAGCAAACAAGAAATCGAAATCGGACTATTATGAACCAGAACGCAATAGAGTCATTTTCAGCCGGCTGTGAAATAGGAATTGTACTCTCAAATACTATTACCCCTTATAGACCTAATCGGCTTCAACCCACCCGGGAGTAAAAGTTTCATTGTTGGTTGTATTTTCATTTCACAGTTGAATTCTTAGAAACAAAGTTCTTTTTCCCACAGGATTTGAATTGGGCGGCAACGTACATATAGCAGCGCCGTTATATTTAGCCGATTAGGTCGGTCTATTAGCTCCCAATAGTTTAACTTATGACATGCGACAAACTAATTAGACAAACACAGTTTTGATTTTGCCTTTTGGTAGCCTACTAGACCCTAATAGTTACTATTTAACACTGACTAGTAGTAAATGTTTCAAAGACGGATGAAAATGACTCTAAAGATGAAAAATCCAATATGGATTAATCTTCATTGTGTCTGTGGTTCATTGATACTGACAAATTGCCTCTAAAAATAGCCGCGAAAAGGGCTATTACAATGCGTGCACGAGGATACAAATGCAAACAAATCGCTATGGTAACCAGAAACCTATAACGTGTTTTGCCCGTACATTTCTTTTAGTACCAAGCGTCAGAATGTTCAAAGCTCATTAAAAATTCGAAAACGAACGTTATGACCATATTTGGAAAATTAGGCCGCTGGATAAAAGATTTAAGGCCCGTTCTGGTTGGCTATAGGGTAAATTTGATTGTTCCAAATAAGATGAAATAAGGAAATGAGATGCAAATTAGATTTAAATATTCAAACGGTTGGCACGGGCGTTACACGTGTCAAGTCCCTTATAGGTTTCTGATGGTATACCATAACATAACTGCTTTAGAGCGCGCAACAGTTTAAACCATTAACATACTATGCGTGCATTGAAATAACAAGAAATGGTTCTACCAACCTTTTGTCCACCAATGAGTGTTAGTAGATAGATTTCGCCATATGTCTTGGAAAGTCTTGTAAATGCAATATAGGGATCACACCCAGTCAGCTCTGCAACATTACCTATGAGTGGGTAGGCCTTGGGCCCTGGTGGCAACTGCAAATGCTTGTTTTTCTTGTTAAGGAGAAAATATCCAACTACAACTGCCACCAATGTCAAGACTGCGATGATTGCGATTGCCATAGCTGCCTTTCACACTGCAAATACAAATTCATTTTTTTAATGGTAGTACTTATTAATATACACCGATTTCCGATGAAAAGACACTTGTAGATATATATG